AGGAGGATATTTAAAGAGGTCACTACCAACACTCCATTCCCCTCCAGCTGTCCCTGCATTCCATTTGCAGCGGGGGCCCGTTGCCCCTGGACAGTGCGGTTACAGCCTGCGGGGTCCCTGTGGTTTATTCCGTACCCAGGTCTGCACTGGTTCCGTGTGTAGTGCGCCGGGTATCCCAGTCTGTTCGGGACATCATTAGGTGACTGCCAGTTGCCACCACCGGAAGATGAGCTTGAAAGTAGGAATTTGTGAGTTTGGAATCTAGCGTCGCTTAGAGTAAGCGCCTGCTGGCCCGGTAAGTTCACCCTTTCCCACTGACACGCGCTAGCCCTCAAACCTGGCCAGGAGTCAGAGCAGCTCCACACGAGAGCCATGGGACTGGGAGGTGTTGACACCATCTACTGCGTCTGTCATCAGGCACCGTGCGTCTACCGGGGCGTCCCCTACCCAATCAGAGAAGCTGTGCTAGTTGCTTTTTTAAAGGGTCAGTAGTTTTATTTTTTTCAAGAAGACACGTGAGGGAGTGGGGCGGGAGTGGGTCAAACTTGACTAGGCTGTCAGCCACGGAAAGGTAGAAAGGCAGCGGCCACGGCCGTCTGTCCTAGCCGTAAGTGCGTGCGTGGCCCCGACCGGGACGCCCGCAGGCACTCAGTAGAATTGTCGGATAATGAGTTGTATCGTATTTTCGTCGCAGCTCTGTCAAGTACGTATTGGCTTGCACGTTTTACGGAGATGAGAAAATGGTCTCCGAGAGGTTAAAGAGCTTGCCTTGGGTTACACAGCGAGGACGTGGCGAAGCTGTGAATCAGACCCGTGTATGCCCACGCCGGAGGCCACACGCCTTCCCCAGTGCAAGGGGTCCAGCCCTCGTTCCCGCTCACGGTCACAGTCCTCCTGGATGCTTTCTGTTTTGCTGTTGTTATATTTTGGACTTAAAATTTTAAGGTGAGATAAAATGTCGAATTACAGAAGAGTTAGCAAGAAAGGGTATAAACAGGTTTGTAAAGCGGTGCGTTCGTTCTCAGACAGTCTTGATTTAAAATGGGATGGGGCCACGCCGCACGAGGACCACGCCGCGTCTGGGAGGCAGGGTGTGGCCCTGTGAGAAAGTTCACCGGTGGAGAAACGTCTCGGTGACCCCACCCAGGAACCAAAGCGAACCCCAGAGCAGCCCTTGGGCTTGCAGGATGAACACACTAGGGAAGAGTCTAGGGTTGATAATTTTTCATGGAAGAACTGAGAAACTGGAGGGTTAGGAGACTATAAAAGAAAGGTGGCTTATAAAAAAGAGGACCTGTAACTGCCCAGACAGACGTACTTGGGTGTGGCGTCACCACCTCGGCTGCCAAGAACAATAAGGATACTTCAGACTGCTGCGCCCCATGCCATTTCCTGTCCTTGCCATCGCAGTTCAAGGTTAACGTCTATACTATTTGATCTGTTCTGCACTTGCCACACAGGTTTTTAAAAGCTCCTCCTTATTTTTACCTTTTGCACCCTTGTACCTACTTTGTCCCTTCGGTGTTGCATGTTTTTTTCCTTCTTTCTGCTCGTAAGGTCGGCTTCCCAAAGACATTGTATTTGGAGGAAGGGCAGGGGGATCCTTCCCTATGTGAGAGGAAGGGGGGGGGTGTCTTAAAGGGATAACAATTTGGAAGTTTTCCAGCTCTAGAGACTTCCTCCCATTCTGATACTAACAGGAACCAGTGTCCTTCACAGCCTGAGCTCGTGACTTCTGTGCCTTTCCCCCTGCTTCTACACTCCACTCAGAGCGTTGCTTTTATCATTTCAGAAGCTTTTTTTCCTTGACATTCTTCACTGAGACTTGGGCTTCGCTGGACAATAAGTGCCATGAGGGTGGAGGTGTGGTGCCTGACGTCCCCACCCCCAGGCGAGCGCTTGGCACACAGCAGGAGCTCAGTAAATATTTGCTCAGTGAGCAGGCCTTGGTCTGTGGCCTTTGTGGGCAATTGCTATGTCAGTTGACTTAAAAATATGGCGTAGATCTTAACCGTTCTTACAGGAAACAAAAATCCTAATGATGTGAAGTGATGATGCATGTTAACTAAACTGGGGCTAATTGGTTTGAAGTATATACATATGTCAAATCCTTATGATGTACACCTAAAACAAATAGTGTTATATGTCCATTATATCTCAGTAAAAAACTCAGGGTCCCAGCCTTCTAGGGTTTAGCTGCTTCTCTGGGATTTACTTTCCAGTTAATCTTTTAATAACAAGGTGTTTTGCCTTGAAAGGATCGTGGAGGTCCTTGGGCCCAACTCTTTTCTGTTATTGTTCCTTTCAGTTTCCTTGGTTTTTAATCTCTGAGAAGGAAGGATAGCTGTTGCACAAGTATGTCTCAGCTAGGCTTTTGTGGGCAAGCTGGGGTGAGTTTCTGTTTGCAGGCCAGCTAGTGCCTTCGGTTTTCTTCAAGCTGCTGGGAATGCTGACATGAGGTGGCCTAGGGACAGTTAAGACTCACTAGGGGCGCTTGGCTGGCTCAGTCAGTAGAGCATACTACTTTTGATCTTGGGGTTGTGAATTTGAGCCCCGTGTTGGGTGTGGAAAGCCTGGGTGGCTCAGTCAGTTGAGCAACTCTTGGTTTTGGCTCAGGTCATGATCTCACAGTTAGTGGGTTTGATCCCTGCGTTGGGCTGTGTGCTGACAACGTGGAGCCTGCTTGGGATTCTCTCTCTCTCTCTCTCTCTCTCTCTCTCTCTCTCTCTTGCAGCCCTTCCCCGCCCCCCAAATAAATAAACTTAAAAAAAATCTTAAAAAAAAAATCACACAGATTCTTAAAAAAAAACCTCACTAAATTCTAAATGGACTTGACCTTGCTCTTTGCTCTTAATCACTCCATTTCCCCCTTCTCTTATTTAGGTGGTAAGCCCCTAGGGTGGACGTATGCTACGGTATTTGTGTAGTTAGCTACTTTGTACATTTTTAATGGTGGGTCTTTGGTTGCCTTGATTCCTCAAATGGAACCATTTTGCCCCATAGGTCCCACCAGTGAGATCAGTGTCAGATTTTTGCAAAATTGTCCTGTTAGCGTCAAGAAGCACCATTGAGATGATTCACTCTGGTCCCTTTATTTCCTAGGAAATGAGGGAGTGGCCTCAGGTCAATGAGCGGAGGGCACGGGATTAGTTGGTGAGAGACTCTGGACCAGAGCCCCCGTCTCTCTGGAACTGGGCACGGTTTTCACAGCACCCTCTAGCTCTGCCAGTGCCACATCTCACCCGTTAGGAAGTGGAAATCTCTTAGGTTCACTGTTTAGTATTTGCTCTGGAGAGTCTTTGGACAGTCTGTACTGAAAAATCAAAGTCGACACAAAGACTCATGATCTTTTTTCAGCTATGGCCCATGGCCAGCTAATTGTGGATTGGAAAGAGCAGGGCCAAGCCGAGAGGTACAATATATGTTTTGAATTTCCTTAGAAATAGTCATTGAAGCTTCTGTAAAGTTATTTTTTTATTTTTTTACTCCTTTTTTTTTTTAATGTTTACTTATTTTTGAAAGAGAGTGAGCATGTGTAAGTGCATGGGGGGGGGGTGGGGTGGGGGGGGTGAGAGGGAGACAGAGGATCCGAAGTGGGTTCTGTGCCCTGAAGAGCGTGATGCAGGAGAATAAAGAATGTGCCGTGATCATGACCTGGGAAGGCACAGTCAGCGTAGCGGACTGAACCACCCAGGCGCCCCCTATTCTTGTTAGTGGAAGCAACATAGAGGACCCGGGTTAAAATTAAATTTGATCTCTTAACTAGTTGAGGTGTCCCCAGACAAGCCACACACTTCCCGAGGGATCTCAGGATTTGGAGTTACTGAGGGTTGGTAGGCTTTGGAACCAGGCTTCAGGGAAGTTCTGTCACTGCCACAGAACCGCTAAGTTTCTATTGGCAGGTGAATTTACTTAGAACTTGACTTCCTTTGGAAGCCGGAATAATAATGTCTACTCGGTTAGGTTGTTGGGAGAATTAAATGCAACACAAGCCAGGTGTCTTGTATGCTTGGCTTCTTGAGGGTCACAGCACACTGAAGTCTGGCCGTCTGTGATTGCATCTAGCCATTACATCATATCACGCGCTGCTTGAGCTCTTTAGACGAGAAACTGTTATTGAATTCTTCAGTGGAAAGAGGGTTTACTATCATCCCGTCCACAGTGTGGACAGTCTAAGCCGGGGTTGAGACTGGATGGGTTGCGAGTGGGTGAGTAGGGGAAATCTGGCTACTTGTATCTTGACATGACGATTTGTTTGGAAGATCAATTACCCTGTGGTAGTTGTGTGTAATTAGGTCATTGATTAGTGCCAGTTAACATGATTAATTGCCATACTTTTTGCTTATAAATATGGTATAAAGCTGTAAAGACCGTAAAGTTCGTAGAATTCGCTAATGAGGAGCTTTTGGTTTGTGTCTTTAAATATTGTTTAAAATGGAAATAGCCTGGGGCACCTGGGTGTCTCAGTTGGTTGAGGCTGAGCCGGCTGACTCTTGATTTCGCTTCACGTCATGATCCCAGAGTTGTGGGTTCGAGCCCCATGTCAGGCTCCACGCTGAGCATGGAGCCTGCTTGAGAGTCTCTGCATCCTGCTGCCCGTTTCCCCTGCTTGTGCGTGTGCACTCTCTCTCTGTGTCTCTCAAAAAAATAAAATAAATGGAAATAGCCAATCCTACAGGCACTCTGAGAGAATGGTGTTTGTGCAGAAGGGAAATTTAGCAAAGGCAGTTTCACAAAATAATAATGAATGAAGCGTTGCCATTAGCTGCTGACAAATTAGTTGTAGCCCTCAGGAAGATGGTAGTCCGAAGGAATGAGAACCATCCTTGGTGGATGACCCTGAGAGTTTGACAGTGAGAGGGTGTGTGTGTGTTTGTGTCTGCGTGTGTGTTTTGAGGTGAAGTGCCCCAGAGTTCTTGTGGGGACTGTATAAAGAATCCTGCCTTACCTGCATTTTTTCTATGATTGTTCATGTGTGGCATGCCTTGTTTTCCTTCCAGGATGTGGAGAAAGAGAAGGAAACCCACAATTACCTCAGCAAAGAGGAAATCAAAGAGAAAGTTCACAAATACAACTTAGCAGTCACAGACAAGTTGAAGATGACCTTGGTAAGCACCCACAGTACTGTCTACGTTGACACAGGTCGAAAGACAAATAAATGTAAATTGTTGGTACTACAGTCTACGTGTTTTAAAATCTCCGAGTAGCGTTTGCAGAGGTTGAATGGCCAAGGTGTGCAGGACGGTAAAGTGGAGGGTTTCCGCAGCTTTCAATGTAAAGTTCTATGTTGAAGTAGCTGAACATCGGTGGACACTTTACAGTTTTATTGTAAACGTTTTTGTGACCCCCCCCCAAGGATGTTTAGCGTTGAGTATAACCGCTGTCTGTTTCACATACAGGTGGTGACTCAGATTCTAATAAGGCTTTAGATAAGTTTTATCTTGTGCAGATAAGTTTGGAAGTGTCAGCAAAAGGATTTCATGCCCGTGGCTCAGAATATACTTGAGCTAAGATTTCTCTCAGCTGGTTGTTGTGGAAGATGAGGGAGGTCGTGCTCAGCGTCCTACACGTTGCCGTTTCGGGCTTCAACAGTGTGGTACCGAACGCTGACTCTCAGCGGGGGTGAGGGTTTAGGAGGAAGGAGGCCCAGGGCTTAGTGACTACAAGGAGAGCCAGCAACAAAGCCACAGTATTCATGTGCCTACAGACTGGACTGGCATCTGTGCCTCGTCCTCGCATTTGGTGACTTTCCTCGAGGCACCTGCCATCCCTTTGCCGGTTTCCAGGGCCCTTGGACTTCGGCCTGTCAGTCTGTTGACCGTGAACTGACAGCTGAGCAAAGACTAGGCTGACCCGTTTAGGACAGGCCCTACTGAGCTCTCTGACCTTTGGGGAGGAGCCTTTAAATCCAAGCCCTTGCAATAAAGAACCCCTGCCCAGCGGACTCCCCCGGAAGCGGGGGGGGGGGGGGGGGGTGGGACAGAGGATCCCAGCTGCGTCATTCCAACGCTCACATTTCTGTTTTCAAACGCGTTTTTCATCAGAGGAGAAATAGTCCACTTGCCATGGTTTCTTTTTCCCTTCCCGCCATGGAGATGAAAACATGCAGGTTTCCATTCGTTTCATAGATAGAAATTTTAAGTGTCGTATAATACTTTCCACAGGAATGAACACACGAATTGGCATTGTAAGTTGACCTTGTGGAAAGGAAGAAATATATGGACCAAAAAGGAGATTTTTTAATGTTTGACTTTAACTGTCTCATTTATCGATATAACACCTGAAGATTTGTTTTAATAAAACGTTAGAATAAACTTTTTCTAAATATACCCGCTGTAAAAAGAAAAAGCGAAGACCAGACCGTTATTACTATTTTTGGCAACTAAGAAATAGTAATTCTGCTCTCGGTTAAACGCTAAACTCAACAAGTTGTCTGTATAAATATGTGTGATTTTTTTTGGGGGGGGGGTTATAAAAATTATACCTCAGTAAAACTGTTAGGAAATAGTATATAGACGGAGGTATAAGACCAGAAAGACAAGTCCTTACAATCTCTGTAGTTCACATCGTAGCTTCAGGTTGTTTTGCACATCTTGCCGCTCGAGGTGCCGGGATCACATCATCGTGTACCCCACGCTGTATATGGCATGTGTGCTGTGTACAAAAGTTTGAGTGAGATCGGTAATCGAGGACATACTATAAAGCCACTGGGAATGAAATAGGTTGTTCATTGACCACTCCAGGTTACTTGGGTGTCTCCCAGCCCCCCAGTGACCTTCCTTTTCTGTGTAATAGCTGGCCATCAGCTGCGGACGGACTGCGCCCCCATGTGTGAAGGCATCTTGGGATTTGTCTGGCCACTGCCCCAGGGGATTGTAACCTCTCCAACGGGCCCTGACCTTTCACATGTAGCTCCGGGCGCGTCGGGTCCCCAAAGCAGGGGGAGGCTTCTGTCCCACATCTGCCCTACAGACCTTGCTCTGGAAGCACTTTGTTGGGGGTGTTCCCTCCCTCTGAGATCATTCCCTCAGGGGTGATCTTTACTTAAGTTCTGCCACAGAGCAGGAAAAACAAAGACCAAGAGAAGGAAGGCGAGACATTCTTTCCCTTGTTTTGCCGGGGTGCTTCCCTCAAATGCCGAATGCTGCAGTCAGCGGAACTAAGTGTGTGCTTTTCTTCCGGCTTCAGAACTCAAATGGGATTTACACTGGCTTCATTAAAGTCCAGATGGAACTCTGCAGACCCCCACAGACTTCTCCGAGCCTTGGAAAGCTTGCTCCCAGTAGCAATGGCTGTACGAACACGCTTCACATCAGCAGCACGAACACCGTGGGGGAAGTGATCGAGGCCCTGCTCAAGAAGTTTCTCGTGACCGAGAGCCCTGCCAAGTTTGCACTTTATAAGCGTTGTCACAGGGAAGACCAAGGTATGCTGCCGCGCGTGAGATGAAAAGGTCTCTGCTCTTAGGTCTCTGTCCTCATTCGCAGAAAGGACACTGCTGGGTGTCTGTACCTCGGTGGTGTCAGAGCCCTGGGATGGGTTCTGGAAGCTGTGGTGCTCGTGGCTCACACCTGATGTTTGCTGGCTTTCCGTATTTTTGAGTTGGCTAGTTGGGGGTCTAAGGAGCCCCGAGGCAGCCACATGTGATGGGCCTTTGTGGAAGAGTTTGTGATGTGTGCACAGGGGGGTAGCTTTGACGGTTTTTTGGTTTTTTGTTTGTTTTTTTTTTTTTGTTCCCCGCCTTGATTTTGAGAATGCTCTTCAGGACGAAAAGGAATGCCTCTGTGCTTGAAGGCTTCATTAGCACATCCCACATTTGATGTGCATCGAACATGGGCAAGTGGGGGGGGGGGGGCTGCGTCCTCAGAGACTTTGAGGGTGGGAGGCACACGTGTGCCTGAACATCTCAGCCTGGAGTGGCACAGCCCTGAGTTCTTCAGTTTCTTTAGCTTGCCACACTGGCCTTGACGCTGGGGCATTTTGGTACGTAGCTCTCCAGAGGCCAATCCGCTGGATGAATGACATTCCGATCTGGGGTCTGCCTGTCTGAACTTAATACCCACGTTCAGTGGATAGAAAGAGAATGATAAAGAATGAACTGGAACACACAGTAGTCGAGGGCAGGCACTCGAAGCAGAAATCGACAACCACTGTGATCCAGTGATTCACCAAGGGCTCGTTTGCACATGGTAACCATGTGTGAAGGCGTCAGTACTTACACTGTGCTTTTGAAGGCGGTAAAGCCTCCAGCAGAACCATGGAGGAAAAATGCACTAATGACCGCGAGAGAAGAGAACTGCCCTTCAGTTGCATGGGGATGGGATCCAGCTGAGTCGCTAGGTATGCTGTTTTGAGCTGCATGAGCCACCCTGCAGGAAATCTGAAGGGCAGGCCAGGATTCCTACCTACCCTCAAGAGGCCCCAGGCTCAGAGTTGTGGGGGGTTTCGATCACACAGCAGAAATCAGGACCTCTTGGCAGTTGTTTCCAAGTGCCAAAATACTTTGGTAAGAGCTCAGGCATTTTATCCTGCCTAGCTGCTGTGCCTGCCCACACCTGGAGTGGCACACCTGCGGACAGTAATAGTGTGATAGCGGCCTGTTGAGATAGTACCCTGACGGCCTGGCGAAATCTTCCAGCGTTGCAGGCAGTGCTGAGTACCGAGTGCAGTGTGAGTGTGTGGGAGGGGAACACAGCTGTGCTCCTGAGTCACCAGGAAGCTTGCATCTGAAGCCGCCGGTTTATTTTGCAGCTGAATTCTGAATCTGTGAACTGATTTGCTCCTAGTGCTCCAATTTTGTGTTCTTTGGATGGTGTATTATTTTTACGGTTTCTGAAAGGGGTTGCAGATGCTTTTTGAAAGGAGGAGCAGAATGAATTGTAAGCCCGTTTGGGGACTAACTAAGACCCATCTAAATTCATTCTGGAAGTTATTTCCTTTTTTTTTTTCTTCAATGTTTTATTTTGAGACAGAGAGGGACTGAGCATGAGCGGGGAGGGGGCAGAGAGAGAGGAGACACAGAATCGAGAAGCAGGCTCCAGGCTCCGAGCCATCAGCCCAGAGCCCGGCTGAGAACTTCGAACTCCGCGGACCGTCGCGGTCAGGCAGCAACTGACTGAGCCACCCAGGTGCGAGAGTTATTTCCTTTTTTTTTTGATCAAAGGCATGGCGTTATATTGTGCAGCTGTCTATACGGTGGAAATAGTGTAGATTTCATTCCACTATAGGCTGTTTCTGGTCACAAGAGGAGGAGGACGGTGACTTGGTGGCTGGGTGACATGGGCTGTTGTGTTGATCTGGAGGAGGGGCTGGTAGGCGGGGCGTATGGTCCAGGGGACGGTTCAGTACTCTGTCACATGCCCGCGGCATCTCCTCACCCAGTCTATGCCTGTAAGCTCTCAGACCGGGAACATCCGCTCTACCTGCGTTTGGTGGCTGGGCCCAGGACAGACACCCTTAGTTTTTGTTCGTGAGCCTGAGAAATGGGAGGAGAGGTGATGGTTGTTGTTCTTCTTGCTTTAAACGTGCAGACGGCAGTCCTGTTTACTGCTGTAGTGGAGTGACTTTTTATCCACTTGGGAGGGGGACAAAGGGAGAGAATGTGTGTGTCTGTGCGTGAGTGTCTGGCTGGCTGTACCTCTTGGGAGGCAGCGAGCTGGTCTGTGGATGATACCTTTCTGTGTGGTGTGTGTGTGTGTGTTTTAACGTGCTTTCTTTCTCTCTCTTTCCTTCCTTCCTTCCTTCCTTCCTTCCTTCCTTCCTTCCTTCCTTCCTTCCTTCCTTCTTTCTTTCTCTTTCTCTCTCTCTCTCTCTCTCTTTCTGAATGAGAGAGGGTGGGGATGGGGAGAGAGAGAGAATCCCAAGCAGGCTCCACGCTATCACTGTGGAGCCTGACGTGTGCCTTGATCCCACAAACCGAGAGAGAGCATGACCTGAGCTGAAAGCAAGAGTCAGACACTTAACCGACTGAGCCACCCAGGCGTCCCTGTGTTTTTCAGTTTTCAGAAACAGACCCGAAGTTAGCTTACGATATAATTTTTTTTTTTTTTACAACATCCATTCTCTTGGTGTTGTAGTTTTCAGAGGTGGGAGGAGAGTAAGAAAGAAAGCTGCCTCCCACCTAAAGAGCACTTATCACCCCTTCTACCTCCAAATTGCCCCAATCCAGTTAAACTATGAAAGTCGACACTCTCCATATGTTTGCTACTAACAAACGTCTGCAGGCTTATTCATTTAAAGAGAAATAAAAGGAAATGGAATCTCTTTACCATGAAAGACCTTTAACTTTCTAGAATCTTTTTTTCCTCTTGCCAAAATGATTTAGAAATTATGTTGGTATATGCATCATTTGCCACTTTCTCTCCAGGGAGGATTGAATTTAGGCCAGTTCCGTTGAAGGAAAAAGCACTTTATACCATTTTTCTAGATCAAGTGTCAGGTTTAAAATGATGCTTGAGTAAATCTTGCAAGGCCTGGGTCTCCATCTTCTGTCTGGAACAGGAAATGTTATCCATGTAGAACATCATGTGATACAATGAGAATAGTTTCCAGGTTAAAATTAGGAAACCAGTGGGGTGTCTGGGTGGCTCAGTCAGTTAAGTGTCTGACTTCAGCTCAGGTCATGATCTCACGGTTCTTGAGTTCAAGTCCCACATCAGGCTCTGTGCTGACTGCTCGGAGCTTTGAGTTCTGTGTCTCCCTCATTTGCTGCCCTTCCCTGCTCGTGAGCTCGCTCGCTCTCTCTCTCTCTCTCTCTCCAAAATAAATACACATAAAAAAAAAATTTAAAAAAGGAAAGGAAACCAACTCTCAGCTTCCTACTGTTCCTCTTGTTAGATTGGGAGCATGACCTTGGGTAAATCTTCCAGTCATTTCAGTCCTCAGTTTTAAAATCTGTAGAGTGGGACTAAAGATTTTAAAAGGTGGTTTTGAGTCACAAATTAAAAATGTATGTAAACGTGCCTTGTAAGTTATGTTCATATGTCTAAATTGGAAGTTTATTTGGGGGGTTTTAGGAAGACATTGCTTTTTTTAAAATTTTTTATTTTTAAAGATGTATTTATTTAAAAAAAATTTTTTTTAACGTTTATTTATTTTTGAGACAGAGAGAGACAGAGCATGAACAGGGGAGGGGCAGAGAGAGAGGGAGACACAGAATCCAAAACAGGCTCCAGGCTCTGAGCCGTCAGCACAGAGCCCGATGCGGGGCTCGAACTCATGGACCGTGAGATCATGACCTGAGCCGAAGTCGGACGCTTAACCGACTGAGCCACCCAGGCGCCCAGATGTATTTATTTTTTATTGTTTAAATTTATTTTGAGAGAGAAAGTGTGAGCGGGGGAGGAACAGAGAGGGAGAAAGAGAATCCCAAGCAAGCTCTATGCTCAGCGCAGAGCCCGATGCTGGGCTTGATCTCATGACTGTGAGACCATGACCTGAGCTGAGATGAAAAATGGACGCCCAGCCCACTCAGCCACCCAGGAGCTCTTTTAAAGATTTTATTTTATTTATTTTTATTTATTAATGTAAAAAAATATTTATTTTTGGGAGAGAGAGAGAGAGACTGAGAGAGCGTATACACGAGTGGGAGAGGGGTAGAGATCGAGGGAGACAGAGGATCCAAAGTGGACTCTGATCTGTTAGCAGAGAGCCTGATGCAGGACTTCAGCTCAGACACGATCTCGCAGTTTGCGAGTTCAAGTCGGATGTTTAACCAGCTGAGCCACCCAGGTGCCCCAGTTTTATTTTATTAAGGAATTTTTTTTTCCATTTTATCTATTTTAGAGAGAGAAAGTGCAAGTGAGGGAGAGGGTCAGAGAGAGGGAGAGAGAGAATCCCAAGCAGGCTCTACCTCTCAGCACCGAGTCGGATGCTGGGCTTCATCTCCCAACGGTGAGATCATGACCTGAGCCGAAATCGAGAGTCAGACGTTTAACTCACTGAGCCACCCAGGCGCCCTCCCCCACCCTTTTTCCTGACAGTGCTGTTTTAATTAATGGCGTATTCTAATGTAGAAAGTTTTGTTCTCCTACTCCATGTTTCTTATTCTCTTTAATAACCAGGTCAGAATTCCTCTCCAAAAAGCCTTCTACCACGTGCCCACTTGGCGGTTTTATTCCTTCTGTTCCATCTGTTCCACTTGTATTAGGTTATCTCCAGTCTTTTTCCTCCCCACACTCCTGGGAGGTCCCCGTCGGAAATTGTTCCTGACGGAGGCAGTGACTCTCAGCAGAAGACCCAGGGTCCCCTTTTGGGAGGGGAGGATGTGTCGAAAAGCAGACAAACAAAAACTCCCCCGTGATGCCAAGTACCTTTCTTGACTGCTTTAATTAAAACAAAATTTAAACCCCACCGGTGTTTATTTTGTGCCTGCTAGGTACCAGGTGCTGTTGGGGAAACAACTCAGAGACTCGAGGGCAAGAGACAAACCTCAAATAGTGAGAGGTGCAGCAGCTGCTGTGTAGGTAAAGTGTAGGTGAGGGAGGTACTAAGCAAATAATGGTCATAACTTTTAAATCTTTTGTGATCGTGGCTGTCATTGCTCAGTGAGAGCTTCTAAGGGATGTAGTTCTGGGTGGGAAGGGAGGGAGGAAATTATGGAAGACTTCTTAGAGGAAGTGGCATTTGAGCTGAGGCTTGAAGGTTGAGTTGAGTTCGCCAGGCAGAGTGGAGAACATGTGCCCAGCCACGGAGGGTAGTGTTATGGGTGAGGGCCACAGCATGGCGGGGTGGGGTGGGGAGGGGGTGCGGAGGGTGCTAGAGGGGTTAGAGTCTTTCAGACTTAGCAAGAGCAACTAAGGGAAGCCACCGAATGATTCTAGCAGGGCAGGGTGAGGCCTAGATTTGCGTCTTACAGAGTATTGAGGCTCACTGTTGGGGGAACAGAGTGGGGAACCTAAGATCGGAGTAAGAAGGACATGGGCGAGGCTCTCCCAGGAATGGAGAAAAGGATGGCGGATAAATCGGGGGGCAGTAAAGGTAGAGAAAAGCAGGCCAATTGGACAGCTGCTTTAGGCGCCGGTAAGATTGTGGGAGGTGAGGAAGAAGGCAGTGACAGTGGTGACTCCAGGGAGAGGGGGCGGGTAGGGGAGCCTCTGGGGTCAGAGGAAGAGGGGCCAAATCAGCAGTGAAAGTGTCTAGAGCACTTTGGCTCTTGTGGGAGCCCTTGTGGAGGCCAGTGGGAAGAGGGAAGGACGCGGGGTGAGAGTGTGGGGGTTGGCCTGGCTGCCGTCTGGAGGGCAGGGGCCGCATTCCGTGGGAGGGCTGCGCAAGACAGCCTTAAAACCTTGTAACCTTGTAAAACAGGCCTTTCGAAACGCTGGCTGGAGTAGGAGGGGCAGCCACACCCCCGCCTGCTCTGGGCCAGCATTCCCGAGTTCTGACTTCAACACCTGGCATTTTTCTTTTGTGTCCTTTCACAGTGGGAAGCCTTCAGCCTTCCAGAACTACAGAATTTCTTGCGGATCCTGGACAAGGAGGAAGATGAGCAGCTGCAGAGCCTGAAGAGGCGCTACGCAGCCTACAGACACAAGCTGGAAGAAGCCCTCAGTGAGGTGTGGAAACCCGATTAAGGCACCGGGTTCCCTGCCGCTCGGGAAGGAAAGGCGCAGGACCTGTGTACAAACCGGCGCAAGGGTCTCTCTCGTCGGAGGGCTGTCTTCTTGCCCCGTGACGCTAGGGTCTTCCCTCTTCGATCGCTAGATCTAGTTCCCAAAACCTGGTCACGCAGCGTCCCGCACCTTAGGCATCTTCTGTAAGGGATTCTGCAAGCTTGTTCTGTTACGGCACTGCGGTGTTACCTCTCGGCAAGCTGTGAATCTGTAGTCTCATCTGGAGCCATCCAGACTGCTTTGAAGCATGGACTCTGGGGTTTTTGTTTTTGTTTTTAAGTCCTTACTTTCCTTTAGTTACTTTAATTATGTGATGATGCTGTTAAGCTGAAGGATGTGCAAATGATTTTTTAAAGGCTTAACAAGGAATCTATCTGAACACTTGTCCTGTGTTGAAACTACCTGTTTTTTGTTTGTTTTTTTTGTTTATGTTTTGTTTTTAGATGTCAGAGGAAGCAATCCATGTGAACTGTAAGGCACAGGAAGCTAGGAACTCTGAGGACTTTGTGAAGGGTTTTGTAGGAGTTTGACAAAGGAAGTGAAGAGCAAGTTTGCAAGAAGGCGACAGTGGAAGTTGGGGAGCTCTGCAGGAATGTGGTTTGGGTGAGGCGTTGATGGTAGGAGAGAAAGGTGTATTTGCTGTTGAGGTGGACGCATTCGGTTTTGAGATGTTGAACCCATTGTAGTATTGCTCGATTACCTGGTGAGTAAAATATGGGAACAGAGCCAAAGAAAGTAGCAGCTAGACCAAAAGGAGGGACCTGGGAAGTCTGCAGCTGAGCAGAACATTCCGGCAGGTGGACCTCGCAGACCCATACATACAGGAGTCACGCCGCTGGGGCTGCCCTCCCTGTGGACGGTCCCAGTGCTCTCTTCTCAGGGTGGCGGGACAATGACCGTTTGCTAACTCTGTTATGTTGTGGTCCTCCCCCCACCCCCGCCCCCGCCCCCCAGCTGTTTTCTGGATTGAAAAGGAGTCTGGGTGGGGAGCGGCTTGTCAGGTAGAGAGCTCGCGGAAGCATACTTTTGTGACCATCACTCCCCTCTTTTCCCCCGTTTTTCCCTTTTCCTCCCCTCCCCCTCCCTCCCTTCCTCCTCCTCCGTCTCCCCTCTTTTCCTTCCCCCTTCCTCTTACAGTCTGTTCTGACATAAGGTAGAATCGGGATATGGATTGTATAGACCCTAGGACTACTTGGCTGTAGGGAGGAGGGTGGCGAGAAAGGGAGGGACCCCCCACCCCCACCCCCACCCCCACCCCCCACCGCCCCGCAGCTGATCACACAAGAGGGGTTCTTTCTGGAAATGCTTTCACAAACGTGCATGTTCCTCCCAACCAAAGAAAGGCATGTGCAATAGGAGCCTTCCTGAAAGCAGGTAAAATAACCCCATTCTTTTTTCAGCAATCTGAAAACAATGGGAAAGGTGTGCTTTGGTTCTAGAGGGGCCTTGTGGTCTATTTTAGTCTAGATATGTTTTGTTTATAAATTCCCAAGGAATTGTCAACACTTTGGTGACACCTAATGGATTCTTTTTGAAATTCCAAGGTGCTTCATTTCTTTGCCTCTTACGTGAACTGTGCCTTTTATCGCATTTCTGTTCCCCTCTTGGTGTGGCACTTCTGACTTTTCAGAGCACACCCATCTTGTTGGAGGCAGGTGTAAGTGGCGGTCATGCCGTGCCACACACGTTACTGCGACAATCGTATCTTCCTAAGCTTTTTAAGGAGAGTTGGGGGGTGGGGTGGGGAAGTAGAACTAGCTATAAAATATGTATGGCACAACTTGTTTAATTTTGCATGTAACTTCTTTTTAGTGCCTCGATGAGGTTTTAGTGACATTGTCATCTAATACTTTACCTTTTTTGTTCAGGGAATGCCTTCGTGATTTTTATACTGGTTTTACTATTCAAGACTGTGGCTTGGGTTTGAGCGTACTGTTATCAACCACCTGGTCTTCTATTCGCCCATCCAGTAAGCTTATATTTTGTGAAGCTTTTGTTTCTCCGATTAAGACACTGTTAGAACCTGAAGTAGTAGCTGATGGCTATCTGTGAAGGAAAAAAAAAAAAACAAACTTTTTTTTTTTTTTTTTTTTTTTTTTTT